CTTGGAAGGGCAGCAAAGGAGGAACTAGAAAAGATTATCAAGCATAAGGATGTTTTGAGACCAAGGTCAGGATCAGCCACACTCTTGCATTCCCAAGCACAATCTCCAAGTATGGAAGCTGGACAGTGAAGAAAGCCAACAGGAAGAAAATGCAGCATTCAAAACATGGCGCTGGAGGAGAGCTTTGAAAACCCTGGATGGACAGAAAGACAAACAAATGGGTCCGAGATCCAATCAAGCCAGGGCTTTCCCTAAAGGCAAAAGGGACAAAACTGAAGCTGTTGTACTTTGGACCCATCATGAGAAGGTTAAATTCCCTGGAAAAGACCATCATGCGAGGGAAAGTTGAAGGAAGAAAAAAAGAGAAGATCAAATATGGATGGAGTCCAATATGGATCAAATACTGAGTGAATCCATAAAGGAAGCCACCACCTCAGACTTGGAAGAGCTGCATGATTCTACCACAGACATTTTTTGAGGGCTTTCATTCGTAGAGTTGCCATTGGTCAAAGACACTTAGGGGGTCTTTTAACCTTTTGGGAATCAATAGGGGCATTTGGAACCGTGAGAGTGTTGTGGATGCCCTCACAAAATGGCCGCCACAGTAGGGTGGACTTGTCATTCACAGAATGGATGCCAAGGCGGGCACAACAAATGACAGAACACCATTTCCCTAGACCTGGCTCCAGAACCTCGTAACACCCTTCTGAAGCCGCCGTTTTTTGCTCAGGCAGCCATTTTGCGGGAGCCAAACTGAGGAGACTCAGGCAGAAGTACTTTGGTCAAGAAACAAAGCACAAAGCCAAGGCGGCAAGCTGAGCCGCAAATGTCAGATCACCTCTTCGCCCCTCAAAAAGCACAGCAAAATACTTCCCTTTTCGGGAAGGATTATAATATGCTAAGAGAACTTTCTTTGTCTAAGCCTGCATAGGCTTGTATCCATGTAGATCTTAAGAGAAAGGGTGTTAAGCCATCTATTTGCATCACTTCCCTTGTGAAACACACAGCTAACATCTTTCTCCGTCTTCCTAACACATTCGAACAGGTGCAACAAAAGCCTTGCCCGCTAAAGCGAAAACAAAGGAGAAAGGTGGAAAAGGGCCACTCTGAGCATGTAGCGTTACATTTAGAACGCGCTTAAATCGCTGCGGCGGGAATAAAATGGAGTTGCGTTTGTTGCATCAGGTGGACTGCAGACGTTGGGGGACTAATACCCGGCGGAAGGGGGCAGACAGAGGAACTAGGGGTAGATGGGGGGCCCTAGTAGGCTGCGGGGCCTGCAGAGGACAAGCACTCCGACAGCCAGGGCGACTGCTCCCGAAATTTTCCTTGCCGCGCATTGTTTTAAATCTCACAATCTAATGAAGAAACAGACTGCAATTGGGTCTTCGAAAGGCTTGCAAAGTAGAGAAGCCGCCCCTCTTCCTTTTTTGGGGGGAGGGGGGCTCTCCCCCGAACTTTGGGGCTGGAAGGGTCCGCGCACCTCGGCCCCGCGATCCAATCCTGCCCGGGAGAGCGGCATGCGGCCCCCTGGGCTGCAAAGAGAGGAGGGGTCTCTCCCTTCCCACCAGCCCACCGGTCGCATTATGTCCTGATCCTTTTCTCTGCATGCACCCTCGCCGCCCTCCTCCCAAAGCCGCCGCCGCCTCTCCGCCACCCACCTTCAAATGCACGTTTGTCCTTCCCGCTGCAACCGCCCCCACAAGACGGTCCAAAAGCCCATTTTGCAGAGGGGTTGGGGCTGAGCAGGGAGGAGACCTCAGCCAGGACGGCACGCTCCGGCCCGGCCCACTCCGCCGCCCATTTCCTTCCTCTCTAGGAAAGCACCGATGCCTTAACACTTAGCGTGCAATCCTTTTGCACGCTTCCCGGGGGTGGGGGGGAGTTGTAGGCCTTTCTTTCCAGTCGAAGCGTGCAACGGGATTGCATTCTTCGCGCCCCTCTGCTGTTTCCCCCCAGCAGCTGAGCAAGCGAGATCAGACTCTCTTCTCTTGTGTGTATGTGCGGGGGGGGGGGGGGGGGGGAGTGGAATGGGGCGACCCCTTCAAAGCGCATGCTTGGACTGGGCTGCAAATGGAAGAGGCGTGATTGACTTATGGGGGGCTCGGGGGACCCAGCCTAGCCCAGCGGCACTGATCGGGGGTACCTTTGTGTGCAAAAGGATCTGCTTGCAATCGGTAGGGAAGGGGGCCTGTTTGCAATCACTGAAACTCTGAAGTTTGCCGCTGGCAAGAGCCAACCCAAGCAAGGTAGCCCAGCTAAGCAGCAATATTTCTTATGATTTATTGGGAATTGCATCTTCGTTAGTAGTACCTCTGCCTTGCTTTCAGGTCTTTGAGCAAGTTACTTTTCATAGAAACAGAGCGAGTCAGAAGGGGCCTCCCGGGCCATGTAGTCTGACTCCCGGCTCCTGCCGGCTCTGCTCAGGACATGCCCACCATGTGCATGTCCATGTGCATTTCCTTCTAGTCTTACCCATTGCCTTCTGGAAAATGTGCATTTTGGAACTGATCCTGGCAACCACGCTGAACTAGATGGCCCCTGGTCTGATCCAGCAGGACTCTTCTTAATTTCCTATGAAATTCCAAAGGCCATTGTGCAAAG